AGTATGTAGCCATCACCACTCAAAGCGTCTATGTGTCTGGCAAACTCAAAAACCAATCCATCTGTGAGCTTTCAGTATGCAGCTATCCTCACTCAACACGTCTATGCGTCTGGCAATCTCCAATACAAATCACCTATGAGGTTCAGTATGTGTCTATCCTCATTCAACGCGTCTATGTGTCCGGCACTCCAACATCACTCAACCCGTGGGGTTCCAGCAGCTATCCCCACGCAACCCGTCTATGTGTCTGGCAATCTCAAACCTCCCCTTTCCGTGGGGTTTCAGTATACAGCTNGTCTATGCGTCTGGCAATCTCCAATACAAATCACCTATGAGGTTCAGTATGTGTCTATCCTCATTCAACGCGTCTGTGTCCGGCACTCCAACATCACTGAACCCGTGGGGTTTCAGTATGTAGCTATCCCCACTCAACCCGTCCATGTGTCTGGCCATTTCAAACCTCACTCAACCCTTGGGGTTTCAGTATACAGCTATAATCACTCAACACGTCTATGTGTCCGGCGATCTCCTACATCACTCAACCTGTGAGGTTTCCGCAAGCAATCCTCACTCCACGCATCCATGCGTCACGCGTCTTTGGTAGCGCATACTATGGGGGCTATATTTGGGGTGGCGTGTTTTACAGCGCTTTGCCAACAGCGCCAACCCACTTAAGTCTAGAATGGGGGGGTGAGGGGGGCGCTTTAATTTCTTCCCGGCATTGCTGATGGATGTTACAACATGCTTTGCGAAGCCGTGGGACAGGAAAGACGATATGGTCACAGCGCGTTCGAAACCAAGCTTGGACGCGATAACTTAGACGCAGATTGCCAAGTCGAGACTCGCGAAGGTCGTCCTGGTGATGGTGCCCCCCCCGGACCGGCTCGGATACTCACGTACCTCGCACAAAACAAATCAGCAAAACAGTCTACACCAGACACAACCCACCTACATACTTCCTGATTGCTCCTTCATGGACGAAGTAACGTGGCGAAGGATCTAGCCGACGAAAAACATTCGCACACAAATCAAACCCGACATGAACGAAATACTCCGGTAAAACGGGAAATCAAGGCGAACGCCTTTCTCGATACGAAACCCCACGTCCCTTTCGACTGTGGTATTATCTCGAACGGGTCGTCATTCTGTGAGATTACGTATACGTTCTAGAACCCCCCCCCGGCGCGCAACGCACCTCGGCGAGCTCCTCGCGGACCCCGTCCCAGTCCTTGTGTCCGAAGGCCACCGCGTCCATCAGATGAGCGGCTCTGTCAAGCGCCACCTTGGAAGACGCACAGCGCGAAAAAACAAACAAAAACGGAATACTTGCATAACCACACGCATACGCCCATCAGCACTGGGAGTTAAACGTGATCGTCAACAGCACTGGACAAACCTGAAGCAGCAACAGCGATAACAACACAACAACAACAACAACAACAACAACAACAACAACAACAACAACAACAACACCAACAACAACACAGACACGCCTGCATCGGAGATCACCTGCATCGGGGATTTCCCTTCGTTGATCTTGTCTGGCTGCTCGTCCGCCGCCATCCCCTCGTACATCGTCCGGACGCTCGCCATGTCCTCATACCTTGGATTCGAATGCACAGCATCGCAATCGAATCGGGGCATGGGGGGGAGATGCTGTTTCATGTCAAGACCCGAGGGATTCTAGGTGTATTGATTTGCCTTCGATCATCTTATCATCCGCCCCGCGTCGTTTTTCGAGATGACGGCACGGATAACCGAGAAGGGCCCCTGCCATGGTTATCCTGTCCTGCCTTGTATGCCTCGTGTCCAAATATCCAACTTGGAAGATGTTGGCTATCCTTCCTAGTTAACGATGACAGCCGTACTGGACTCAGAATTTAACGGCAAGATAACCGCACCAACTACTTATAGTAACAAACAAGAACAATAAGACAGAACATATCAGAGCAAAACTGAATCCGCACCACGCGGTGTCGGAGATCCTACGCCCACAGAGAGGTATCGCACAATTAACGGCGGTGTGCCACAACATGTCACCCACCTGACTCAACTCACTTGGTTCGCTCACTTCACTCCCCTATATGACTCACGCACTTGACTCAGCCACTTGGTTCACTCACCCCGCGATCTTGACCACCTCCTCCAAGTCCTTGCTGCTGGGGGAAATGGTCCAGCAGGGGCACCGCAGAGACACCTTCGCCGCGTCCTTAGCCTCCATTTCTCTGAAAGGAGGAAAAAACATACACACGCAGACAAGCAAACGCATAAATCCCAACTCGGAAAAAAAAAAAAGGTGGTTCACCTAGACGTGAGAGGGGAAACGAGCGGGGCAGAGGGTTGTTTTCTTGAACACACGCACACACGAGCCAAACATTAAAAAAAAGACACGCGCGAACAACATCAGAGGAACGAAACTGGCAGAATGGATGGATGGTGGGTGGGTGGGTGGAGAGAAGTCAATTTCTCAGCACACGCTCCTCGACTTGTGCCGCGGCATCTCCCACCACCTCCGTTCTCTTTCTTCTCCTACACCCCCCCCAAAAAAACGAAAAAAAAAAAGAACACTAGAACCACGACAGCGGTTCGGCCAAAATCACAAACGGAGATCTTTCGATATCATGTTTTAGACGGCACCCAAAAGCAACAGCAGCAACCACATCGCCATCATCAATAACAGCAGCAGCAGCAACAGCGGCAGCAACAACACAACTGCAAACAAACAGCAGCAGCAACAGCAGCAGCAACAGCAGCAGCAACAGCAGCGGCAGCACAAAACGACGACCGACGCCGCTTGTATGTAGGGAAATGTATTGTGTGGGATCTCGGCGTTGATACAATTCTTAAATGCACAAGCGCGCCGTCAAGCCCACGTCCCTCCAGCTCGCAATGAATGAGCACCACCATGGCAAGGGCTTCAACGAGGCAATCAACAGGATCGTGTGGTTACAGCCCCGACTACAAACAAGCTTCGCCGCACACGCACATCACGCACCTTCTGTCCATCTTGGCAAGTACCCTGGCGTAGTGGCCGTACGGCCGCCCCCAGCCCACGAAGATTTCGTTGGCCTTCTCCGCGGAAGCCAAGGCCGCTGTGGAGTCTCCCTTCTCCAGGTGCGACGCCGTGAGCCACTCGTACACGTCGGCGAAGGCCCCGACTCGGAGAGCGAGGTACCTTCAGTTGTTGTGTTGTTGTTGGTGTTATTGTTGGTGCTGATGGTAGTGGTGACAGCTGTTGCCGCTTTTGGCGGTTGTTGTTGTAGTTGCGGTAGTGTTGATGGTGGTGTGGGTGTTGCTGTCGTCCTTGCTGCTAACGTTGTTGCTGTTGTTGTCATTGGCATTGGTATTGCTTTCGTGTGTTTGGTGGTGTCATGCGGATGCTGTGGTAGAAAAACTGCGTTCCTGGTGTAGCGATGTGACACCCAAAACGACGCCGCGCGCTCTCAGCCCCTTCCTTTCCCAATCCAACACGCGGAACCACACAAGCGAAGCATTCACACTATATGCTAGCCAGGTCAATGACTGCGGCCGACCAAGGCTCCCGAGATTACCCACACTCACTTCTCCACTCCTACGCCAAGCTTTTCCACCGCACCCTTCTCGTACAGGGGATCCGCTTCTGGCAGCCCCTCGTTGCCCAACCGGATGAGCTCCTGCCAAGAAAGCAAAATTGGAAGAGAAAGGAAAGCAAGCGTGAAGTGGTCCACAAACGCTCGAAGTGCACCCGCGAAGGGTCCGTTCGGAGCGGTGAACAAAACAACCATTGCAGTTGTGGATACCATATGCATTGCACTCAAGTTACGATGCCAGCACATGTACCCTGGACGTCAGGTGTACCACTTTTCGGGGCGAACGTCCACGCGCACCACCACCAGTCCGGTGGCACGCACTGCCTCTTCCACTATACACAGCGTGAAAAAACAAACCACGACGAAATAATTAAACGACGAATTCTTGGGCAGAACGTGTCCAATCGCCGCTCCCTCGCTCTCACCTCGCTGTCGGCCGACCCCGCGAAGTCCTCCTGGGCTACCACTCTCCTAATGAAGTGCTCGGCGTTGTCCGCCAACAGCTCCAGCCCCGTCTCCCCGTTTCTCACAACCGGCATCTCTAGCGTCTACGCCGCAGCCGTAGCATGTGGCCACAGGGGAAGGTGTGAATGTGGGCGTGGTGCAATGACAAGGGCGCGAGTGGGCACCAAGAGCGATCGGCAGGACGGGTGGTAGCAAAAGAAGAAGTTGGAAACGAAGACCAAGGCAGGGACAACGACAACATGTGTCTGTTGCTGTGTTGTCGTATTTTTCACATTATAGAAACAGCTCCGATCTCTGCTCAGTGCCTTCTTGAAGCGTCCGCACAATTAGTGGCACTGAACGTGGACCCCCTCTTCCGTTGTCTCAAGACAAGCGTGTGCCAGCAAAGCGTACAGGCAGGTACTCATGGGCAGACCTACGTCTACACACACACGCCTCCATGGGGCTACTCTACTGACAAGGTTCGACATCCCCCCCCCCCCCCCCC